AGAATCATATAAAGTTTTGCAGCCGCTGCTGCCAAGAAGGTATGAGAGTGTCTTGAAGGAAGTGAGTTCTTCGCTGCCTTTCATGGTCCCTGAAGAGTCAAAACTTCAATGTATGAGGCTGTTCCTGCTTATACGGGCAGGAACAGCCCGTATAAGTTTTATTATTGTTTACAAGCTTATAGATACACAATAATGTTCTGCTACCCTATTCTATATGAAAGATTGCAGAATGTAGATAAAAAATTAGCTATAAGTTCATTAATATCCCCCTTTCATAGGATGGTTAGACATAATGGAGAGAAACATGAAATGCGAGGCTGCATTAGCCTACACTAGCAAACTCTGCGTACGGACTTGGGTAGAGTTGCCTTTGTACAGGGTATCAACGGTATATACAAAATGTTAGTATTATTTATAATGTACAATGAACGTGTTTCTGCGTCATGGAAAGTTGTTAGACAGGTGGGACAATGCGTTGTATCAGACATAATTAAGATTCGCAGTAAAGCACACTGCGTAGCGTAGTGTAAATTGTACTCGAACGAAGTGCGTAGTCCAACTGGTCCCTCTAACGAACACGGAGTCCAACACACACACACACACACACACACACACACACACACACACACACACACACACACGCACGCAAACCTTGATGCAAATAGTCAAATAGAGAGAAAGATCTGGGGGTTGATATCACACCGAACCTGTCCCCAGAGGCCCACATCAAAAGGATATCAGCGGCATGTGCTAGACTGGCCAACATAAGAACTGCCTTTAGAAACTTGTGTAAGAAATCGTTCAGGACCCTGTATACTACTTATGTCAGACCAATCCTGGAATATGCAGCTTCTGCCGAGTCCATATCTAGTTAAACACAAGACAAAGTTAGAGAAGATTCAGCGGTATGCCACCAGACTTGTCCCGGAACTGAGAGGCATGAGATACGAGGAAAGGCTGAAGGAACTGAACCTCACATCACTGGAAAACAGAAGAGAAAGAGGAGACATGATAACCACCTACAAAATTCTCAGGGGAATTGACAGGGTGGACAAAGACAAACTCTTCAGCACGGGTGGAACACGAACAAGGGGACACAGGTGGAAACTTAGAATCCAAATGAGCCACAGAGACATTAAAAAGAATTTTTTCAGTGTCAAAATAGTTAGTAAATGGAATGCACTAGGAAGTGATGTGGTGGAGGCTAATCCCATACACAGTTTCAAATGTAGATATGATAGAGCCCAATAGGCTCAGGAATCTGTACACCAGCTGACAAAGAGGAAATCCTGAAACCAGCAACTTCACGAACAAGAGAGGACACTGATTCAAGCCAAGGAAACAAAGGCGCCGAAAAAAACATTAGAAAGTTTTCTTTTGCAAAAAGAGTAGTAGTCGGTTGGAACAAGTTAAGTGAGAAGGTGGAGGCCAAAACCGTCAGTAGTTTCAAAGCATTATACGACAAAGAGTACTGGGAAGACGGGACACCATGAGCTACAGTACTCTCCTGTAACTACACTACACCTTCTGTGGTTGATTGTTCAATAAATCACTGAATTATATACAATACAATTTTATTTAGGTAAGGTACATACATACAATAAATATTTACAAGGATTGTTTGACTTATAGGTAGAGCTAATACATACAATGCCTAAAGCCACTATTACGCAAAGCGTTTCGGGCATGATAAACTTAAATGACAAGCTTAATACTAATTGAGCATAATGAGTAGAATGAAAACAAGAAATGAAAACATAGATGAAAAAGCAGCATAAATACAATTATGTCGACAAACAGCGCTCTTTAAAGAAAAAAACAGACATTGGTTGACAATAGAAGGGTAAGGTAGGTTGACAATAGAAGGGTAAGGTAGGTTACAGATCTCTAGCCCTGTCCATAGAGGACAGCAGAAAATGTATATATGCTGGTTAGGTTAGCATTATAAATGTGTGGCCACGTTTGTGGTAGAAAAAATACACTTAGGTAATTACACACATACAAGAGAGTGTGTGTGTGTGTGTGTGTGTGTGTGTGTGTGTGACCCTGGGGTCTTAAGTGTGACCAGCTCGACTACGCACTTCATGTGAATACGACTTACGCTACGCAACGCAGTCTGCTTTACTGTGAATTTTAATTATGTCTGATACAACGCATTCTCCACCTGCCTTCACATCTTGCCATCACACACAAAATCTAGTGTGCCAGATTTTGCTAGTCCAAGAGCTAGAGCTCGAGCCAGCAGGCACAAATAGGTAAGTACACACAAAACGTAGGTACACACACATCAGACCATCCTCCGTGGGAGCCAATCAGCGTCATCTTCCGCCACCCCTAGCCAATCAGCATCTTTCCCGCGCATACACACCTCCTGGCGCCACACAACGTTGAGGTGTTGTCATCATATATTTTCTACAATTTCATTATTTCCATAGTTATTAAAAAAATTATGATTTACTTTATACAAATCATAGCATTGGGTTTCAGCAGTTTTAATAATTAGCCTTTAATATGGAATTTAATTACCGCGCTCTTTATATTAAAATTAGTTATTGTTATAATTGCTGTAAATCTCCCCCATTAATGATCCCGGGTACGTTGGTTGTTTATGCTTAACATTTACCATCACGGAAACCATGGCAGTTCCGGGTTCACACACCAGGCAGTGGCACCACTAGTACTGCCCTGTGTTGGTACCAACACAGGGCAGTACCGTCACAGGCAGTACTATCGTAAGCAGTACCAACAATGAACGTTGGTTAGAACCCTCACTGAACGTTGGTTAGAACCATCACTGAACGCTGGTTAGAATCATCAGTGAACGTTGCTTAAGATAAGAGAGGGAATCCAAATTGGAAGCGTGATATGGCACCACTGCGGGCGACCTTGTGAGGTCCATGTGTAAACACAGACACGAGGCTGTCTGACGCTGTCAGCCGTGAGGGTGCTGCCCCGACCCTTACCTCATTGTCAGCCGTGAGGGTGCTGCCCGGGCCCTTACCTCATTGTCAGCCATGAGGGTGCTGCCCCGGCCCTTACCTCATTGTCAGCCGTGAGGGTGCTGCCCCGGCCCTTACCTCATTGTCAGCCGTGAGGGTGCTGCCCCGGCCCTTACCTCATTGTCAGCCATGAGGGTGCTGCCCCGGCCCTTACCTCATTGTCAGCCGTGAGGGTGCTGCCCCGGCCCTTACCTCATTGTCAGCCATGAGGGTGCTGCCCCGGCCCTTACCTCATTGTCAGCCGTGAGGGTGCTGCCCCGGCCCTTACCTCATTGTCAGCCATGAGGGTGCTGCCCCGGCCCTTATCTCATTGTCAGCCATGAGGGTGCTGCCCCGGCCCTTACCTCATTGTCAGCCGTGAGGGTGCTGCCCCGACCCTTACCTCATTGTCAGCCATGAGGGTGCTGCCCCGGCCCTTACCTCATTGTCAGCCGTGAGGGTGCTGCCCCGGCCCTTACCTCATTGTCAGCCGTGAGGGTGCTGCCCCGGCCCTTACCTCATTGTCAGCCGTGAGGGTGCTGCCCCGGCCCTTACCTCACGACGGGAAGGGTGGTGAGAGGGGACAGGGGACTGGGAGGGGCGTGGAATAGGAAGAAAACACGCGAGAAATGGGGAGAGATACAGACTGTTCCGGGCACCGTCGGCAGGTTCCTCACCAAGAATGGAACCGCCTACCCACCAAAGCCGTAAACACCAAGGCATTACCCCTGGTCAAAATCCAGTTTGAAAAAATTATCAGGAAAAATGGAGGGACCTTTGACAAGCACCAGCTTCCTGTCCCCCGTCGTAGGCACTAGATTGTTAGTGGCCTCAGGTAAATTGAGAGACAGAGAGGGTGTGGCAGGGGACTGGGAGGGTGTATGTGGCAGGGGACTGCATGGGAGGGTGTATGTGACAGGGGGACTGGGAGGGTGTATGTGACAGGGGACTGGGAGGGTGTATGTGACAGGGGACTGGGAGGGGGTATGTGACAGGGGACTGGGGGGGTGTATGTGACAGGGGACTGGGAGGGGGTATGTGACAGGGGACTGGGGGGGGGTGTATGTGACAGGGGGACTGGGAGGGTGTATGTGACAGGGGACTGGGAGGGTGTATGTGACAGGGGACTGGGAGGGGGTATATGACAGGGGACTAGGGGGGTGTATGTGACAGGGGGACTGGGAGGGGGTATGTGACAGGGGACTGGGGTGGGGGGGGTAGAAGACTGTGTTCAGGGTTGACCTAATCTCGAGTCTGTAAATAGAATGTCTGTTTGTTGGTCTGTCAGAGAACCAGACAAGCTTGGGGCTAGCCTGACCCAACTGTCAACACCCAAACAAATGTTTGAACGAGGTGAAGAGAACGAATTAATGGATATACCCAAAACGTGCGACATAATCAGGAAGAACAGTGACAAACTAAAAAGACTCAAGAGGTCCAGCGCAGGTGTGGGTGGAATTCAATCCACAGTTGTCAAGGAACTGGCAGAGGCTCAGAAAACTACCGTCCGCCCAGCTTGACATAACACATCCCCTTGTGCACTTAGAGAATCTTAAGGGAATCACTCACCATCTCACTATCATGTCAAATTAACCCAACATGGATTTGTTAAAAATAGATCCTGCCTTACAAACTTGCGCACATTTTTGCTAGTCAGACAAAGGACTTCCGGTAAATGGAGTTTGCTAAAGATTTTGACAAGGTACCATATGAAAAAGGATACGAACCCTGGACAAAGCGCTCGCGGAACACCAGGCGAGTCTTAATTACCACTACGCCATGGAGACTGCTGGCTGGAGAAAGGGGGGGGGGGGGACATTAGACAAGCCGCCGGCTTTCTGTCGTCGTTGAGACCACTATGGATAGTGTTAATGGCCCCTCAGGTAAACATAGATTCATGTAACTACTGATTTAACCACTGTATGATATATTTCTTAAATAAAATATTAGTATTCCTGTAACACTAGGTATTTGCAAGCAACATTCATGCCGATGAAAATCTTACGTTTTTGAATAGCGAAATGAATGCAAATGCTTGTGCAAAGTATTGAGAAGCAGTAGCAATGTAATGTTGCAGAGTTGAAGAGGGCGCCATGGCAGTGTCCTAGCTTGCCTCAGGGAAGGTGTGTGCTCCTCTCAGCTAGCGCCAAGTTGTGCTGTGAGCGGCTCCACACATCAATGTCACGTGTGTATAGAGGTCCGGCGTGATGTGTGATCTCTCAGCGCGAGGGACTGGATACCCTGTGGCCGCCGAGCAACTCTTGCCGCCGGAAATATGGGAGATCATTCTCAATAAGTTGGAGCCGTGGGAGCTGGTGAAGGCTGCGTGTGTCTCGTGCTGGTGGAGACATCTGGCCACGAGGTCACTAACTATATTTATACTTTCGTCTCTTGTTAAGCTTTCCATATAATGCCTACCTTTGCTTTGACTTAATGCAATGATTGTAGTTTAAAAAATATTCGAATGAATATTAAATTTGTTTTATATAATAGTAAGAGTATATATACACTTAAAAGACTTAGAGAGTAAGAGGGGATAAATACACATTTATGTTAGTTAGCCTTTACACATTTTGCTTATAAAGAAAATGGGATTTTGAAATATTTAAGGTAAGACTATTATTATTCAAATTTAAAATTTATGGGGATTCGGCTCGATGCAATGGTATTTTGTCTAAATCTAGAGAAAGGACAGCGTAGAACAGATAGGCACAAGAAGCTAGCGGCTTGTAAAAAGCAAAGATCCTCATATTCCTACGATATTTCAATCAGTATTTATGCTGTTCCATTCAACATGTAATTATTGTCATTTTTGTATATTTTTTTCAACTTCAGTTCAGTTTTTTGCATTTGATCTCAATTAGTCTTAAGTCTTAGTTAGTTTTAAGTTTATTTTTCCTCATCATGGCCGAATGGCTGTGCGTATTAGTGGCTTTAAGCATAGCTAGTATATACTTTATTAATCTAGAAATCCAACATTCTTCTTGTAATTCATTTTGTATGTATGTACTTTTTCCTAAATAAACATTATCATTATATTATTATTATTAGCTGTACCCGGCTACAGAAACCCTCTCCTGTCCTCCCCTCCATTCCCCCCTCCCCAAGTCCCTTCATTCTCCCAACCATTCCCAACTCTCTCATTCCCTCGACCTCCCCACCATTCCCCACTCCCCTGTCCCTTTGTTCTCCCTATCATACCCCACTCCCCCATCCCCTCATCCTCCCTACCTTTCCCCCCTCCCCGGTCCCCTCGTCCTCCCCACCATCCCTCACTTTCCTTGTCCTCCCTACCATTCTCCACTCACCATCCCCCCACTCTCGTCCCCTCGTTTTCCCCACCTTTGTCCCCTCCCCCGTCCCCTCGTTCTCCTCACCATCCTTCACTCCCCTTGTCCTCCCCACCATTCTCCACTCCCCCGTCCTCCCCACTGTCCCCCACTCTCATCCCCTCGTTCTCCCTACCATTCCCCACTCCCTCGTCCGATGCATTCCCAAATGATCTGATGTTCCCATTAGAAAAATGGGAACAACATGATCTGATGTTTCCATCACTGGAAAAATGAGAAGAACAGTTAAAAAACGAAATGAAAAAATAAAAAAAAATAAAAATAAACTATACTCATGAAATGAAGAAATGAGGAGTGTTCCTCACTCCTCTATTGTCAACCCATGTCTGTTATTTTCTTTTTATTTTCTTTTTTTTTTTTTTTTTTTTTTTTTAATCAACACTGTTTGTCAACCTATTGTATTTGTGCTGCTTTTTCAGTCATGTTCCCCCTTTTTTTTTATCTTTATTTGTATTTGTTCTCAACATCTTTTATTCTTTATGCTCAATTAGTATTAAGTTCTTGATATTAATGTTTTTCTTGCCCGAAACGCATTGCGTAATAGTGGCTTTAGGCATTGTATGTACTAGCTCTATCTATATATCAATCCATTAATGTAACATCACTTGTATGTATATACCTTACCTGAATAAACATCTGAATCTGAATCTGAATCTGAATGGTATGGTAAACAACACTGCTCAATTACAACGCAATGTCACACAAATAATTAAATCAAAATTAAAATAAATCGAGATCGATAAAAATTCAATTCATCAATGCAATCTGAAACATTGAAATGGAATCGTAGCATATTTAGTATAGCATGAGTTACTTTTACGTGCAACAGATGGTGCCGTTTTAAAAAAAAAAAAAATCATGTTTTTACCTGTCACAGGTGTCATCTATATAGTAGGTGTATAAAAACATGCACGTATTCGAATGGAATGTTGTGTCAAAATTTTAAAGCAAAGAACTTTCGGAGATTACAGCATATGTTGCTGTTACGTGCAACAGATGGCGCTGTTTTTTTTAAAGCATGGTTTTTACCTGTCACAGGTGTGGCATGTATATAGTAAGTATATATAAATACATGCATCTATTCGAATGCAATGTTGTGTCAAAATTTCAAAGCAATCGATTTTCAACAAATTTCAAAGAGGTTTCGGAGATTTCCCTCACTTGAAAACTCGCATGAAAAACACAGTTCTTCAAAAAGCATGTTTTTACCTGTCACAGACCTGATAATTATATAGTAAGTATATAAAAACACGCTCGTATGCGAATGGAACGTTGTGTCAAAATTTCAACGCAAGCGGTGAAGAACTTTCGGACAGGTTCTTAATCTAACAGATAATTTTAAGTAGGTAATTCGTAGCAAAATTTGAAGAATATTAAAAGGTACATTGCAAGATAATTTGAAGAACATTAATAGGTACATTGTAGTAAAATTTTAGGATTTAGCAGCAGGTACATTGTAGCATAATTTGAGGGATATTAACAGGTACATTGTAGCAAAATTTGCATTCAACATAACAACTATGACGTAAGTTGATAGCAGTGATTACAATGGTGAATTTGCATGGCTTAGGCACATATATTGGAGAGTGGGTAGCACAAGATACAGTGCGAGTTTGAAACACTAGGTAGGAAACTATTAGGTACTTTTTGGATTTACTTTTGAATAAGGCATAGGTTGGACAGCTTTTTAATTCATTAGGGAGTGAATTCCATAGACTGGGTACTGTTGTATCCAGACATGGAGTGTTTGCACAGATTTAGTTTGACTCTGGGGATATCAGAGATATTTATTTCTGTTGTGTGGTGCTCCAGGGTTCTGTTACATCAATCAAGGAAAACTTTCAGATCAGGATTAGCAGTTAGGAACAATGTTTGTACATGTAAGTAACACAAAAGAATGACCTATATCTTTCCATCCTGTGAGATGGGGCTGTTAAAATAAACTCATAGCTATCTCTTGATCTGCACTGAGTAATCCTTCAGAGAGAATAGGGCAGCAGCAGCACATTGCTGTGTATACCTAAGTTTGTTAATAAAAAAAAGTATCCACTGAGATGCTGATGTTATCTGTATTTAACAGGTGCTGGTGAAAAATAAAAGAGACAATGAGTTTGCCAAATATCAAGGGACTTCTCATTCATCAGGAGAAGAATGTCATACACTTAGGGCATGTATATCCAGTGAGAAGATAGCTGAAATATGCAATGGGGTGTCACAATTCATCAAAAATGGCTTCAATCACTATTGGTATCTGTAGGAAGTGGGAAGATGCTGTTCACAGTAGCATCTTTATCTCGATCCACTTCATGAAATGGTGATTCCAATTTAAATTTTAAGACTTCTAGGCCTATTCTGAATTTGTATACAATTATGTATATAGTACAGAGATTTGTTTACTCATTGAAAGTTTTTCTTTTGACAGAATATGTCGCACGAGGTGCCAATGCCTACCACCGCGTCTTCTGGCCGAGCTGCTACACGAGCACAAGGTCACTCTGGCTCCCAAGACCTCGGTACTTGATCAAGGGACAAACAATGCTGGTGGGCTCATGTGTGTAATTTGTGATGAATATTTGCAGTACTGTATTGTTGTTGTTCCTTGTGTGGGTAGCCCAAGTGGACTGATAGCACATGGGATGAGTTAGCCGGCCTGATAGTACATGGGATGAGTTAGCCGGCCTGATAGTACATGGGATGAGTTAGCCGGCCTGATAGTACATGGGATGAGTTAACTGGACTGATAGCACATGGGATGAGAGCTGGAGTGAGAGCACATGGGCTGAGTTAGCTGGAGTGAGAGCACATGGGCTGAGTTAGCTGGAGTGAGAGCACATGGGCTGAGTTAGCTGGAGTGAGAGCACATGGGCTGAGTTAGCTGGAGTGAGAGCACATGGGCTGAGTTAGCTGGAGTGAGAGCACATGGGCTGAGTTAGCTGGAGTGAGAGCACATGGGCTGAGTTAGCTGGAGTGAGAGCACATGGGCTGAGTTAGCTGGAGTGAGAGCACATGGGCTGAGTTAGCTGGAGTGAGAGCACATGGGCTGAGTTAGCTGGAGTGAGAGCACATGGGCTGAGTTAGCTGGAGTGAGAGCACATGGGCTGAGTTAGCTGGAGTGAGAGCACATGGGCTGAGTTAGCTGGAGTGAGAGCACATGGGATGAGAGCTGGAGTGAGAGCACATGGAATGAGTTAGCTGGAGTGAGAGCACATGGGATGAGAGCTGGAGTGAGAGCACATGGGCTGAGTTAGCTGGACTGAGAGCATATGGGATTAAAGCTGGACTGATAGTACATGGGATGAGTTAGATGGACTTGTAGCAACTGTATTAAGAGTAATATAGTTGCTCCAAGTTCTCAGAAGTTCTCTTGCAGGCAATTAAATGTTCCTGTTATTTTGTTATTTCCACATAAACTATCCATAAGAATTCCACATTCCAAAAAGTTCAACGATAAACACTTTAAGGCTCTCCAATAATCCTATGTGCACTAATTACAATTAATACATGTATCCTATAAGTTCCACGAATTACTGAGGAATGCCAAAAGTATCCAATGAGTTCCCCAGCAGGCAAAATGATGATGAAACTTGCCAGCAGCAGTGTGTGTCCAACTCACGGTTAGAAGTGTGGATATGAGCCAAACATGAACAGCCGCAGCTGCAGAAAAAAAGTTAACCAAACCCTGGGAATAATCAAGCAAACCTTTGACTTTAAGGAAAAGAAGGTAGTTATTCAACTATAAATTTGTGGTATGTCCCCAATTGGATTATTATATCCAAATATGGAGACCTCATTTTTTTTGTTTATATACTGTATATATATAAAAAGAGTTCTTACATTCTTGTTAAGCTACTAACATGCATAGAGTTTTGGGCAGGTCCTTAATCCTAATTTTCCCCCAAATACGACCTGGCAAATTGTTTTAACAACCAAGTACCCATTCACTACCTGTTCACCCAGGTAGCCTCTGGGTGAATAGAGGCTACAGTTAAGGATTGGCGCCCAGTCAATCCTCCCCGATCAGGATACGAACTCAGGCCAAAGCACTCGCAAAGTACTGGGTGAGTGTTTTACCACTGTACCACAGAGACTGCTTCAGAAAGTCATAAATGCATTGGAGAAAGTTCAACACCAGGCAACAAAAATCATTCTAAAACTAAATCAACTCCCATATAAAAAAATGATTGAGGACCACTGGGCTAATAACACTGGAAACCAGACAAGGCTGGGCTGATTTCATCGAAACTTTTATAATACTGAACAGTTTGGACGGTGTTGATCCAGATAACTTCTTCAAAAGTTCAGGTAAAAACACAAACAAAGAGTAATGGTTTCAAGCTCAACAAGCCACAATGTAGAACTGAAAACAGGAGATGCTTTTTTACCCACAGGGTTATAAACCCATGGAAATGCCTACCAGCTGAAGCCGTAGTTTCCAGAACACTGTTGAATTTTAAAATACAGCTTGATAAACTTATCCAGAATGTGGAATGACCTTCCCAACCATGTTAAAGACTGTACCTCTCTCAACCAGTTTAAGTTAAAAGCGAAGCTATACCTAATAAATTCCCTGTAACCTACCTTACCCTTCTATTGTCAACCAATGTCTGTTTTTTTTCTTTAAAGAGCGCTGTTTGTCGACATAATTGTATTTGTGCTGCTTTTTCATCTATGTTTTCATTTCTTGTTTTCATTCTACTCATTATGCTCAATTAGTATTAAGCTTGTCATTTAAGTTTATCATGCCCGAAACGCTTTGCGTAATAGTGGCTTTAGGCATTGTATGTACTAGCTATACCTATAAGTTAAACAATCCTTGTAAATATTTATTGTATGTATGTACCTTACCTAAATAAAATTGTATTGTATTGTATTGTATTGTATCAGGACAAATTGGAGGTACCTTTTGACTAGCCAATGGCTTTCTGTCCTCATTGAAGCCACTAGTGTGTTAGTGACCTCTCATGTAAATTCAGGTATTGTCTTGATTAGAAATCCTCCACTGTTTTTGTATCCTATGTATGTACAGTATATACTTTTGTCTAAATTCTCTAATATAACTGTATTTGCCACATTCTGTGAGGTTTTCTAACCAATATTCTATTTTCATAAGTTGGTCTTTAAACTGCTAAGGATTTGAATCTGGTGATTTATATACAAGGACAATCACCACATTTAACATTTTTATTTTGATCTATCAGCACTTCCACCATATCGTTTGTGGTGTTGAGCAGCTCTGTGCAGATGAGTGTGTCTTTGATGTACAGACTGATCCCACCCTGTATCCTATGTTTTTTATCTGAAACGATTGAATTGTGGTATCCATATCTCACTGTCATAATAGTCCTTTGTATGAGTTTCAGTTAAAGCCGCAAACAATGCCTTTGCCTCATTTAGGAGACCAGTTATAAAGTGGACACGTTTGTTTTGCATGCTTTAATACCTTGTATATTTTGCATGCTTTGATACCTTGTATATTTTGCATGCTTTGATACCTTGTATATTTTGCATGCTTTGATACCTTATCGTATTTGTGGAAGTGCTGGGTATTTTATGTGGTGTTAATCTCTGTGGTTTTGGTAGGGGTGCCACATTGTCTGTGTCCTATCTAGCATTTGACCGAGTTGATGGTAGAGTTTTATCATCTCTTGCCAATCTTTTCCACTTTCTTTTACTAAAGAATCTGATATGTATGAGTGTTGCTATATGCATAATGGCACTTTTTTTTTTTTTTTTTTTTTTTATTCACTTGGTTCATTTGATATGAAATGCAGGACAGTCTCTGTTAAAACATTCTTTCTTGTTTAGGGCATTTTTACACAATTTTGGGTGGAAAAATCTGTAATTTTCAGAGACGTGTACCTGTATTTAGGATATTTCAAGTTTCTTGGGTGTTTATATTTACATGTTCTATTAGTTTTTCCTGATAGCCCATAATTACATACAACCCCATGCATAATATTGGCAGGTTCCAGGTTCATGCTTTGTTGGATTATCTTGGTTTATCCATAATACATTGTGTTGGCTCTTTGCTGAAAAATGTTTGTCGAGAAATTACAGATTCCTATTGTTGCTCCATCACTTCTTTAACTGCTTCTAATATTTCTTTATCTTTGGCCACTTGTGCGTGGATTAGCAGCAATAGGCATTGGCAAACCACCAGCTTCTATCCTCATCAATGCCATCAAAATCAATCTCTTCTGTGTTGACCTTCCTCAAGCTGGTGGCTACCTTTGTTTTTGTCGTGTTCCCACACAATTTCCTTCTAAATACACTATTTCTTCTTTGCTTTTTTAAATTTTTTACTTTCTGTCAGTTTGCCAGATATTCACTATTATGGACTTTTTCACTATGACCTGTTTATCCCTCCCAATTTAAAAAAATAAAAAAAAATCACTAGAGCTCCCCCAGCTCTCAACCTTCCCACAGCAACACGATCTACCTGTTATTTATTTGATGAGGCGAGGACAGTGTGTTGTGAAAATTGTATTTGGTAAGATGTACAGTGTTTATTATCGGTTGATACGTTGAAGCATATTTATGATATTTATAAAAGTGTAACATTTACAGGTTTGGGTGACATTATTCAAAGAGGTTTAGTAGTTTTTGATTTATATAGCATTGATCACAGCAGTTGGTTGTTAGAAATGTTGCAATGTGTCGTAATAGCTGAGACAAGGCCTGGAGCAGAGAGCTTGAGCAAGGCCAGGGGTAGAGAGTGTATAGTTTATACTGATTATAGTTTAATCAAACTAATCAAACAGTAGTTTACAATCCCCATGGTGTAGTGGTTAAGACACTCGCCTGGCGTTTCACAAGCACTTTATCTTGGGTGCGTATCCTGGCCGAGGAGGATTTACTGGGCGTCAATCCTGAACTGTAGCCTCTGTTCACCCAACTGTAAAATGGGTACCTGTTTGTGAAACGATTTGGTAGGGGTTGTATTCCGGGAAACAGAGGATTAAGGACCTGCCTGAAAGGCTACGAGTGCTAATGGTTGTACAAGAATGTAAGAACTCTCTTATATTTTGACCAGACAACACAATAGAAGGTGAAGGGATGACGATGTTTCGGTCTGCCCTGGACCATTCTCAAGTCGATCTCCACAATCGACTTGAGAATAAATAAATAAATAAATAAATGTTTATTTAGGTAAGGTACATACATACAAGAGATTTTACAAAGTTTGTTGGATTAATAGATAGAGCTAGTACATACAATGCCTGGTCTAGGATGGACCGAAACGTCGTTGTCCCTTCACCTTCTAGTGTGTGGTCTGGTCAACATACTTTAGCCACGTTATTGTGACTCATCGCCTGCAACTCTTTTATATATAAATAAATAAAATAAAAAATAGTTGGACTGCCAGCAAGATCGTGGAGCCAGACTGTGGGACAAGAGTAGATAGCTCGAATATGACCAGAATCTGGTTGTCTGCTCTGTGGCAAGGCTGTAGCATTTTGTAAGAGTAGGAACTAGATTTATAGTGTGTTACATTGTTGCTTGTGAATGTCAATGCTGTTGAAGAAGCTCCGAAGTATATACAGATGGTTTGTTACCAAATCACTACTGGAATTGTACTGACCACTCCATTATTATTCAGCTTATATTCCACACTTTTCCTGACTTGCCAAGTTGACCATCATCTGGCTGGTTACCTTTTGGTGGTTCTGAGTGATTCCTGTAACCCATGGAAAGAAGTATCAATTGTAATTAGTGCACATAAGATTAGTGTAGAACTTCCTGGAATATGGAATTAACAGGCACATCTAATTGCCTACAATGAAAGCTCTGAGACTTTGGGGCAAATATATTACTCCTAATATAGATGCTACAGTAGAATTAACTGTGTAGTTTGAATTAAAATTTCTTTATCTTTCTCAGTGCCTTATTTATGCTTGAAACGAGGAACACAGTGATCAGGTGTTCCGCTAGTGATTATACCAAAAGTGAGAGCGGCCGTTATGTTATTCCATATGTGGTCTGGAGCTCGGACTTGAACATGATACATATAAGTGTGTGTGTGACCAATGGAGTTATTATATATCTAATATCCCAAATCTATTGTTTTTTCTCCAACAGATGACATAAGGACATCTTTCAAGTGTCAGAAGGAAGTGGAAGAACCAAACTGGTTAGATATCAGTAGAATGTACATACAGACTATTGTAACATCAGACCCAAACAACTGCAGTGAGGTATTACATATGAAAAATGTAACACATCTTGCTTCTTCAAGTATGTATTTCCTATGGTTTTCACAGTAAATGTACAGTACTGTAAATATATTGTAAGCTATTGTAAATATGGAAGAATCTAATAATTAAATCTAACCTAAATCATGCATAATTTATTCAAAGCACAGGAATGTGACTGTGACAACCCCAACACTGACTCTGTGATGTGTTTAATGCCTCATTCCCTTTATTATAGGATGAAAATATTGGGTGGGGACCCCATACATTCCACTCACTAAAGGCATAAATAGCCTCAGATCTGGGGTTCATACCTGACCAGATTTTCTAGAAAGTAAAGACATGCTCATTGGGCTGTGTAGAATGTGAGGGATATCCATGAATAACAGAAGTAGTTGGAATGGTGAAAGTTTTTAAAGACTGAAAGCTCAATGTGCTGTGTTTACGCGGGACAAAAATATAAGGAAATAATAATGAAAATTGATATGCAAAAGAGTTGTAAAAATTTAGCACTGAATGTTATGAAATGCCCCTTATTGATGGGTACCTTGGTGCCACCTTAAACAACCCACTTGGTAAGCTCCAAACCTAGGATACCACACTAGGCTATAAGATCCATAGCACTTCTCATAAGCCATTATCAGAATATGGCTCCCTCAACAGAGACAAGAGGTACTAGAACACCATAGTAATCTGAAGGAAAAACCACCAACATGGACCATGCACACACTCGTTAATGACAAGCGATTGCTAGCTAGCAACACTCGTACACCACCACCCAAGGTGGCCATTTCCTTCAGTGTGGTGGTAAGGTTGAGTCCCCTCCACTCCCAGACATTCTCACGGAATCTTTCAAAGGCACCGCTGGCCTTGGCAATCCTGTTGTTGATTTCTGCCTCTATGTTCACCGCTCTTGAGAATATGGTGTCAAGAATGGTGAAGTTATCAAATGCCTGTTGGTTCTGCCTCTTGACTGTGATGTGTGGTTCCTGGTAGGGCCTTCTGGGAACGGGATGGTACATGACTTTGTTTTTTTTGGTGCTTATGATGTTGTCAAAACTGTTGCAGGCTCATGAGAAGCAGCCCATTTCATGCTGTATCATTTGCTTTATGCTGGCATTGAGGGCACAGTCATCAGCAAACAGGAAGTCTTTTATGACAGGAGGAGCCAGGAGGGAGCCGGTCGGCCGAGCGGACAGCACGCTGGACTTGTGATCCTGTGGTCCCGGGTTTGATCCCAGGCGCCGGCGAGAAACAATGGGCAGAGTTTCTTTCACCCTAGCAGGCTCCCGAGGTTTAACAGGCGATCATTAGTCCTGTATCTAATGGGTATTTCATCCTGGCAATCATGAAAGGCATCAGTAAACATGGCCAAGAATACTATGTTGAAGAGTGTTGGGGCGAGAACATAGCCCTGCTTCACGCTGTTCGTTACTGGTAAGGCTTCTGACTCGTCTCCATCGTCCAGTACTTTTGCCATCATGCCATTGTGGAACTATCGGATAATCATGGGAAACTTACCAGGACAGCCAAACTTCTCCATTATTATGGAGAATGAGCATTCATTTAGGCCCCTTAACTCGACGTTTGGTTCATCCCACAGCGCCAGGTTATCTTTCACAAGCCATCTCTGCTGGCCATAACAAAGGGCTTGTGCAGGTCAATAAAGGTCCGAAGAGGTAACAATGTTGTTCTTGGCATTTTTCTTGGAGTTGACTTGTGGCAAATATATTGACAATTCTGTGTTCTGGGCGGAAGCTGCATTGGCTTTCTGGGAGGAGACCCTACTCAAGGTGTTGTAGGAGATGGTTGAGCAGGTTGAAGGTTTGATTGTTTTTTTTTCTAGGAGAGTTATTTTGATCTTTTTGGATGTAGATTGCACAGGTTAACCAGACAGTGGTCTGTTTTAATTCACCTACCTTTCTCGGTCCTTCCTCAGTCGATTACAATTATGATATATTTAAATGTAAAGTGCCCATAGGCCATAGCTTCGTGCGCCTCCCTGAGGGGACCAGGTTCTGGCTCATGGTTCCCGGTTAACATAAAAACTCTTGTGACTGATGACCCCAAACTAATACTGTATAGCACATATCAGTTCGGATAGCTTCAGGGAGCCGACGGGGCTCCCCACAGACAAAAATTGTTGAAAGGTATGAAGGGATAAACTCATAATACTAAAAGAGAACTGTAACCTCCTTTAGCTGCTAAATGTTTGTGCCTTAACGGCTTTAAACATTCCTAGTGCAGGGTGGTATGAAGTCTGGGAACACCAGGCATTAAAAACTCAAAACACTGTGAAAGGGCGACAACACTGGCATGTAGGGTGACCCTGTGCAGGGCACAGGACCAGCCAACAAGAACTTTTCACACCTTATCTGTAGAGGAGGCGGGCTGTAGTGGTCGAGATAGTCCAAGATGGCATTGTGAATTACTCGCCGAAGAGGTTTCTCCTGTAGAAGGTGTGGGATATATGTTGTTTAACATGTTTTAATGAGCAGCAGAGTGGAGGATGCAGTGTGCACAAATGAGGGCAGATTTAACCCAGCCAGCTTCTTGTACTGATAGCATACCTGCCTCCCGCTATACAGTACCTGCTAGGCAAAACACCACAAAAAATTCATGAAGGCAGAGTATTTGAATCTTTTTTTTTGAAAATCTGAGCATCATTGGACACCATTCACATTAGGAAGCTATGATATTGACTTTTGATATTAGGTTATGAAGGGTTATAGACCCCATGGAACTGCTTAACTGCCAAAGCTGTGAATGACAAAACTGTTAAATTTTAAAATTCAGCTGGAAAAAATCATCAGGGCAAATGGGGAGACTTTTGACAAGGTGCCAGCTTCCTGCCCTCATCGAGGCCATTGCAGTGTCAGTGTCCCTTTGGGTCAATTCAGGTTATATACAAAAATACCTTGTGATAAAGAGTTGTTACATTAATGGTAGATATACAGAACAAAGACTTCATAAAAACACAAGTTGTGTATTCCTGTAATTTCTTGAGATAAACATTAATAATCTCACTTGTGAAGAATATTTTGCATTCTACAAATAATAATCTTTTGAAAATAACTTAGTATACAATCAGTGAATTTCTTTCCTTTAGCTTAAGTTGCTTATAGAATGTAAACTTTAATTTACTTTAATAAAGGCAGGTTTGTGGTGGTTGTGTGTACTGGTGAAGCTGAGAACTTGCACATCTTACGATTGGTTGGCAAGGCAGGGCAAGAATGCTGCTCACAATCTATTAGTGGCAGAATTAACAAGGTAAATTTTCTGCTCCTATTAAGAATGTTTTTTTCTCAGGATTTATCAAAGTATAATTAAGGTATTCTCATTTTAATTATGATACTGCAATTGATTCACAAGATGATAGGTCATTTTTCATTAAATATTATTAATATAAATTTCATTAAGCTAGATTTTAAAATTCAACAGTGTTTTGGAAATTACTGCTTCGGCGGGTAAGCAGTTCCATGGATTTATAACCCTATTGGTGAAAAAGTGTCTCCTATTTTCTGTTTTCATTATGACTTTTTGAGCTTGAAACTGTTGCTCCTTGTTTGTGTTACATCTGACCATTTGAAGAAGTTGTCTGGATCAATATTCTCCAAATTGTTAAGTATCTTAAAAGTTTGATGAGATCAGCCGCCATATCTGGTTTGCAGTGTTCATAGCCCTGTGACCCTCAACCTCTCTTAATATTAGAGTCGACTTAGTTCTGGAATGATTTTTGTTGTCCAGTGATGAACTTTCTCGAAAGCAACTATGTTTTCCTGAAGATGAAATCTCCATGCTTGGATACAATAATCCAAGTCAGGGCGCACCAAAGATTTATCGAGTTGAATTACTACCTTCTTTTCCTGGAAGTAAAATTTTTGCTTGACTATTTCTAGGGTTTGGTTAGTTTTTTTACTGCTGCTCCTTCTTGTATAACTTTTAGTCAATGATGGATCCTGACTTTGTCCTTTTTTTTGTGAATCTGTAAATTTCATGATGTGGTTTCTATTATGCTCATCTGTCATTAATGTAGTATATGGCAACAATGGGTGGACCCAAAATAGACCCTTGTGGTACCCCACTCACCACATTTCTCCAGTCTGATTCATTCCCATTTAGCATGAATCTGTTTTCTTTGTTTTAACCATTGTTTTATCCATTTAATTATCCTTCCATTTATTCCATGTGCTTGTAATTTCTTTACTAGTTTTTCATGTGGTACCTTGTCGAAAGCTTTAGCAAAGTCCATGTATACTACATCTACTGGGAGTCCTTTGTCTGAGTAGCTGGTTATCAGTTCCAAAAATGTGAGTAGGTTTGTAAAGCAAGATCTATTTTTAACAAACCCATGTTGTGTTGATTTTACAAGATTGTTCACAGTGAAACTGTGAATGATACCTTCTCTTTGGATTTATCCCATGAGCTTGCAGATACTGTATATTATGTCAAGCTTATCAGACAGTAATCCAATCAGCATTTAGTGTGTGTGGGTTAGGGTCTGAATAGATAAAGGTAGCATTGTCAGCAAATAGTTTAAGAATGTTAAGAGACATTTTGTAAATCATTGATGTATGTAAGAAATAGGAGAGGTCCTAAGGTGCTGCCCTGTAGCACTCCTATGCTTAATGGTAGAGTGGGGGAGGTTATGTTATTGATGGCTACATATTGGTGTCTGTCATTAGGATATTATCAAATATAGTTTAGAGCAAGGCTTTGGATTCCATAATGATAAAGTTTATGTAAGGGATAGTTATGGTTTACAGTATCAAAGGCCTCTCTCAGATCAATGAAGAGGCCAATTGAGACCTCATTTTTGTCAAGGGCTGTATATCAAGCAGACTAATAGTGACATAATGGGTATATTTTTGTGAATGGAAGCAAATTGGCAGGGATTTAATATGTTCAACATTACAAGATGGGAGGAGAGCTGTTTGTAAATAATTTATTTAAATGTTTGTGATAGTATCAGTGGATTTGATATTGGTCTGTAATAGTTTGTCAGCTGTAATGCCTCCTTTATGGGATTATAGCCTTAGTTTAAACAGCAGGAAGTTTGTTATTTTTCCTGAGATAATGAATAATTGTGTACCTGTCTGTAAGAAAACGTTTGTTTTAGAATTTTTTCACAATATCTTCGTAGGTATAGCTGGCGGACAGTGCCAAAAATTGTTGTGGTGGTCTGAATGTGACCCCTGGCACGCTATTCTCTTTTTAATTCTGGTGACCAAGACCAGCCTATGTTCATCTCATGAATTTTTATCATGTTGTATTTCACTCTACCTTAGAAAGGGGCATTTCATTTAATTTGGTGTTCCATTTTTATATGGTGTTTGACATTTTGGGCTTGTATATTATAAAGAGGCAGCACTGTAGCTGCTGTGAAGCATAGTTGTTAAAAGAACTCTCTCACTAGGTTTGTGTGATGGAGATGCCAGAAACTTCCCCTGTCCTGGTACTGTGTGTGGAGAGAAACCTAAGGTGTTATTTGGTGGAGCCGGAACTGTGTGCGCTATTTCCACTTGCTGTCAAACCTGAGCTATCTGTAGATTCTAGACTGAGGTAAGATAGTAATTTTAGCAAGATAAAGGTTTAAGAATTACACATTATTATTTGATAACCTGAACTAAAATTTCTCAGTTTACTTATTAATATGTTTTATTAAGATTTACAAAGGGATATTGGATATTTACAAATATTTTTGATAGTATCGGTAGATTTGATATTGATCTGTAATTGTTTATGTTAGCTTTATCATCCCAGAGTCAAACTAAATCTGTGCAAGCACTCCATTCAAATAAAAGAACCCAGTCTATGGAACTCCCTAATGAATTAAAAAAAAATTCTAACCTATACCTTATTCAAAAGTAAAACCAATAAGTATCTAATTTTATCCTCATAGTTTCCTACCTTGGGCTTCAAACTCACATTGTATCTTGTGGTACCCATTTCCCCAATATTAGTACCTAAGATCAAATTGACATGGGGGGTCTGACAGCTGAGTGGACAGCACATAGTCCTAAGGTTCCGGGTTCAATTCCTGGCAGGGCAAAAACAAATGGGCAGAGTTTCTTTCATCCTGATTTCCCTGTTCACCTAGCAGTAAATAGGTACCTGGGAGTTAGACAGCTGCTACGGGCTGCTTCCTGGGGGTGTGTAACAAAAAGGAAGCCTGGTCGAGGACCGGGCCACGGGAATGCTAAGCCCTGAAATCATCTCAAGATAACCTCAAGATAGATGCATCTTCACCAGCATAATCATCCCCATCAAATTATATTGTAGTTATTATGTTAAACTCAAATTTTGCTACAATGTATGTATTCATCTGACTATTTGTTAGATTAAGGTCCTGTCCAAAACACTATGCGTGTTGCAGGCGATGAGTCACAATAACGTGGCTAAAGTATGTTGACCAGACCACACACTAGAAGGTGAAAGGACGACGACGTTTCGGTCCGTCCTGGACCATTCTCAAGTTGATTGGGATGAGGTGAACAGGGGTGGCATGCCCGTGCCACCTCTTGGGTGGCTTAATCATTATCAATCAATCAATCCTCATCACAATTGACTTGAGAATGGTCCAGGGCGGACCGAAACGTCGTCGTCCCTTCACCTTCTAGTGTGTGGTCTGGTCAACACTATGCATGTTAGTGACTTTGCAAAAAGCCAAGAACACCAATGTTATTTACTTTCACAAACCCAATGTATCTTCTTGTACATAAATAAATAAATAAATTACAGTAATATCGCCTCTCTCTGAAATTGCTCTCGAGTCATCTTAGTTAACAATTTGATGAGTTAATTCATGCCTTCATTCACAGCTGTGATGGAAACACACTGATAGTTTCTCAAATGGTTGGTGAGCATCATCTTGCTGTCTATGAAGCCTCTTTCCTGCCCGAGACGAGAACAATTGAACTTACCCATAAAGGACGCATCAGGACAACTTCACCTCCAGTTTACTGGGATCTTTGGAATGGATTTGTAAGTATCTTTTTCACATAAATTAAAATTATGGTATGAATAGTGAAAATGAAAAGTAGAAATAAACAATTTGAAAAGCATGTGTGGTATTTTGTGAAAAAATTGAGTAAAGAATGAAAATGTCATGAAGAAATGTATGGTGCTGAAGTCAAGATTAAAGAGAGCATACCTGAACTTACCCGAGGGCAATTATCTCGCAAGTGGCCTTGATGAGGACAGGTAGCCGGCAGTTTGTCAGAAGTTCCCACATTTGTCATGAAGATTTTAACGATGTGGATTTTAAATTCAGTAATGTTTTGTCATTTACGGCTAGTAGACAGTTCCACGGGTATGTAACCCTGTGGGTAAAAATGGGTATGTTTTCTGTCCTACAGTGTGGCTTGTTGAGCTTGAAATCAATGCTCCTTGTTTGTGTTACACCTGACCTTTTGGAGAGAAACTGTGCACCGGTCATTCATTCACTGGAGTGGTGGATTGCACTGTGGGAGTTTTCCAACATCAGTGAGATGCACGGTGAATCTCACCTACTGTAGCTAAGTGCGCAGACAGTGTTTGTCACATTTGTTGTGCTATTTCTACAATAGAGTAGATGTAGAATATACTGTGTTTATATACCCCAGTGGTCGGCTGGTAATAAGTGCAGTTGGTGTCCGTCCAGTCTAGAGAGTGTATTTATGTCTGAGCACGTTGTCCATGATATTTGTTTCTTAATTATAGTAGTAAGAATCTTGTATTGTTAAAACATCTGAAATCTGCATATCGAGTTGTGAATAGATTTCAAATTAACATAACTATTGTAAGTCCTGTTTTTTGTGGGAGCAGTAGTCTATGTACTGCCTTCTCTTGGGGTTATCTTGAGGTGATTTCGGGGCTTAGCGTCCCTGCGGCCCGGTCCTTGACCAGGCCTCCTTTTTGTTACACACCCCCAGGAAGCAGTCCGTAGTAGCTGTCTAACTCCCAGGTACCTATTTACTGCTAGGTGACAGGGGCATCAGGGTGAAAGTAACATTTTGCCCATTTGTCTCCACCTCCACCGGGGATCGAACCCAGATCCTCAGGACTACGAATCCGAAGTGCTGTCCACTCAGCTGTTGGGCACCTTATCTGAAAATACTACGTCTTTGGTATGAGTGATAGTGTAAAGTAACTTTAAAACATAGAAATAAAACCCTTTGTAATTATAGAAACTATTATTCTTCCTGTTTGTATACCTTAACATTGTTTGGTCCTCAGGAGTGAGGTATTCCTGCCCTGGTACATTTGATCATTGCTTTACCATTAGAAACAATATGGAAGAAAATGCAGAATAGAACCAGTGAAGAGCAGAGGTGCCATAGGCACAATCAGAGAACACTGTATAAACATCAGAGGTCCGCGGTTGTTCAACGTCCTCCCAGCAAGCATAAGAAATATTGCCGGAACAACCGTGGACATCTTCAAGAGGAAACTAGATTTATTCCTCCAAGGAGTGCCGGACCAACCGGGCTGTGGTGGGTATGTGGGCCAGCGGGCCGCTCCAAGCAACAGCCTGGTGGACCAAACTCTCACAAGTCGAGCCTGGCCTCGGGCCGGGCTTGGGGAGTAGAAGAACTCCCAGAACCCCATCAACCAGGTAACCAGGTATAAGCATTATTACAGAGCAGACTCTAGTTTGCCTTTATATTTCATGCCGTAAAGGCCAGGTTTCCATAGCTTGTACTCTAGGGTACGGCTGATGGCATGTGTATTACTTTAGTTCAGTGAATGGTGGTGCTTGTTTTCCTATTCAGTAAATAATGGTGTTTGTTTTGCTTTTCATTAATATATACAGTAACTTGAATTATCATTAGCTGCTTTCTCCTGTCAGTGTGCTATGTTTTGTTTCACTGTTACAGGTTACAACCATTGTCTCTGGAGGCCATGTATCCTCATACACTTTATCTGGAAACTTGGTTGCCGAGTCACCACTATACAAAGATCTTCGCTACCCCAACCCTACTCTCCTTGCACGCGGATTGGTGTTTGCCTCTACTCTCACCTCTAGGACTCTTCTATGTAAGTACTGTATTTAGAATTGGAGTTTTAGTGTAACTAAGCTCGTAATGTGTATTTCAAATGGGCAATTTGGGTTCCTACTGACATTTGTGGCTAAATAAAAAGAGGTTTTGGGGTTCCACATACAGGGACAAAAGTGTTGTAAGCCTATTTGTATGCCCTTCTTCTCGAGTTCTTTCAGGTATGTCTCTCTGAACTGATGGAGATATCTTCATTGTCCTCCCAGCAACCTTCTTCTTTGTCCTCCCAGCAACCTTCTTCTTAGCTCTTCTATCCCTTACACACACACACACAACCATATTCTCTCACAATGGTAAACTGTCACCAGAAGAGCAAATAAAGAACATCGTGCAAGGAGCATATGCTACACTTTCCAACTCCAGAATTGCTTTTAAATATATAGATGGCAAAATACCAAAGAAACTGTTCATGAATTTTGCGAAACCAAAACTGGAATATGCAGCAGCGGTATAGTGTCCATATCTCAAGAAGCACATCAACAAACTGGAAAAGATGCAAATACATGCAACAAAATGGCTTCTGAAATCGAAAGAAAAGAGCTGCGAGGAGAGGCTAGAAGTGTTAAACATGCCAAAGCTAGAAGAAAAAGTGGCGATATGATCACTATCATATCGCCACAGGAAGGGTGGGGTGAATGTGTGAGTGCTAGTTCATAACATTTTCAATTGTTTGTTCATATAGTTTGGAGGGAGCTCTTTGGCAGTTTGAGTCTGCAGGTATTGGAAGTAGTCAGCTGTGGTTTGTTTTATCTTGCTGACTTTCTGGGTGCCTTTCCTGGTGGTGGCATAAATAACATAATATATAAATGACACCTCTCCCTGCACCTCTGTGAGGAGACCAGGTTCTGCCTCTGGGTCTCCGGTAGGACAGAGAATTCCACAATTGATGGCACCTAGTAGATAACGCGTGCATCAGAGATGTATAGCTACACGGAGTCACAAGGGGCTCCCCAAGAAAAACATTCTGGGGGAGTTCACTGTTGTTGAATTTAAACTTTTGCAATCAGAGTGATATCTGGTTGGAACAATTTAAGTGAAAAAGTGGAGGATGCCAAAACAGTCAAAAGTTTCAAAGTTTTATATGACAAAAAGTGCTGAGAAGGCAGGATACCAAGAGCCTAGCTCTTATCCTGTAACTACACTTAGGTAATCACAACATACTTTCTCTTACACCATGCTCTTATTCTCTTGCACCATGCTCTCACACTCTTACACCATGCTCTCACTCTTACAGCTTACCAAGAATCTGTTTTTGAAACTAAATGTGATAAAAAAATATTCCCGGAGGTTATTAAGATATTTCAATGTGGCACTCAACATGTTACAATTTTATTACAGTACTGTATTTCTAAATTATATCTCATAAGTCATATTCAAATTAAATTATACATGTAATATTTTAATAAACTAATTTGTCATTGACATGCTATTTAAGTCTGTGAAAAGTCTATTGGTCAACTCTCGGTTTTCTGTGTGATAAAGTAGAAGAGTCATTCCATTCCCTGTTGAACAAAGATGGTGTATTCTAATATTTTGTGGATTATACTTGGCAGCGTACTGGCACATGGATCGTGAGCGTGACTACTGGCTTGTCGGTGAGAGTATCTTGACCAGCTGGATACAGAGAGGTTCACAGGCTGTGGGTAACACAAGCTGGAATACAGCAAGTGGAGCAGAGAAACATGACAGCACATTGTCCACACACGGACAAAACATCACCGATGAAGCAGTTGAAAGTTCTCTCTCGAGTACACAGGTAGTCTCTTAATCCCTTCCATATAAACACACATTACAATCCGCCTTATAGCGCCTACTGATTTTATCATTATTATTATTATTATAATCATAGTAATGAAAAAAAGAATGTCAGTTGTACATTTGTATGCTAGAAGCCCTGACACTGATCTTTTTTGTTTGCAGCCAGCTAGCAGCTGCATAGTGACACTAGCCAAGGTGAGGATAGGAGCTACTGTCTTGCTGGAAGTGACTGTGGTGCACTACAAGAGAGGTCTTGTTTTTTGTGGCACCAGTCAAGGTAGGATACATGTCTCTTACCTACACTGTGGTGTATAAATATATATATAACTGAAAACTCCTGTTGGGTGTTGGAGAAATGGTCCATGACTACTAACACTTTTGTACAGTCAGTTGTAAAATAAATAAATAAATAAATAATATATGTATATTAAGCTTGAATGGTCCCCAAGCCAACATGCATCAGAAAACTCTTGGCCCCTGAAGGATTCAAACCCAATCAGCCAGGGCCTCCATACCCCTTGGCATGTCCAGTACTGTAGCCACTCAGCCACCGACTGTACAAAAGTATTGGGAAGTCATCAGACTTATAACCCCCCAACGCCCGACTGCACGCGTGACCTTATTTGGCGCGGATATTTCATCAAATCATTTCAACATGCTAGGGTCGCATGAGCATCAGGTGTGTGCCAAGTGTCAAGAATGAATGCAAATCTCGAGAATATCTTAGAGTGCCAACGAATATGTTTTCCTCCGCGGGTGTCTCGAGTCAGTCACCTCATGAGAGCCCGAGAGCTGCCTCATCTCCTCGGCTCGCCTGTGACATGGGCTCAGGTTACCTGTTGATTGGCTGATCAGCTTCCTCCAATCTCATCTCTTATTGTATCCCGTGAAAGCTAGGGTCACCGCTCTGGGCGGGAATCTGTCCTGTCTTGGGAACTCACAAATGCCATCTTTGAAAAGTAGGTTTCCCTTTGAATTTATAAAAACAAAGTATGCCAAAATTGTGCAATTTGCACTTTTCCTACATAAACCAAAATTTTCTTTGGGCCTCCTAGCACATTTGTAAGGGGGACACAAATGACACTTGACTTGTGTTAGGCCTGAATTAGATGGCAGTCATAACAGGAGATAATGGCCCCTCAGGTAAATTCAGAGACAGAAACCAATAAGAGAACAAAGAAGGTGGAGGAAGGGGGGGCAGAATGTTTGGAGAGGAAAAGGGGAATGTTTGAAGAAATGGAAAGAGGGAGGAGAGGGACAAGAGGTGTGAGAAGGGGTACGTAGGGGAGATGGGAAGAGAAGGGGGGGATAGAAAAAGATATGAGAAGGGGGAGATTGGGAGTGGGGAAGGGAAAAAAAAAAAAAAGAGACCCAGACCCAGACACAGGTGAAGAGAGACGAGAGTTGTGAGCAGTGAATGGTGGGGGGGGGGAGAAAGGTGGAGTGTGTTGGGAGTAGGGAGAGTGGGGAGGAAGAAAGGTGGAGAAGGTAGAAGGATGGGGGTAGAGGAGAAGGAAGTCCTTACTGTACAATACAGTATATCTAATATTATGTAGTAAATATTTTGTAATCATTTGATTATTTTCAGGTCACTTGCTGATATACAACATCTTGACTAATGACCAAGCATCAAATGTGAAGGTGAACTGGGCAGTTATGGAATCTTACATCCCATCGCTATATTTATCCGTGACCTCTTGTCCAATCTCAAGATTAACGTCATATTTTAGAAACGCGCACATAATTGTGGCTATAGCCGATAGAGATGAAAATTGTAAAATAATTTCCTTACCTAATATACAAATGCCTTCTGAATGTTGCTGTAAGAATATGTGCAACTGTTATTCATAGGCTGAGTTACTAATGTAAATTAGTCATAATTTATTTTTTGGTGACAACTTCATTACCAGTAGGCTTTTAATTTTTGTTAAATTTATTATTTAAATTTTGTTAGTATAATTTTGTACAGATAAAATATGTGATTTTAAAAAATCACATATTCTATCTTTTAATTAGGATAGAATATGTGATTTTTATGTGAAAGCAAAATCACATTCTGTAAAAAGTATGGAGGCTCTAACAATTTATATTTTTAAAACAGGTATAAAAAAGTCAAATTTATTTCTTAATTACTACTTTATTTCAGCAGCCTCAAATTTAGGTTAGCGTGCCTTATTTTGTTTCATAATTCCACAAGTAATTATCAAAAGAACATACTAAGCCTGTACGTATTACTCAGAGTAATACTGTAAGAGTATTAAGAGTATGTGCAGCTGTTATTAATAGGCCGAGTTACTAATGTAAATTAGTCATAATTTATGACTAATTTAACTCATGACAATTGTTTGAGACCAGGACACAAGTTCATTTATATTTTAAAAATATTATTCACATTTGATGTAATTAAGTAGACTGTTAATAGGTATTGGAAGAAAACTAGTAATTGAGATGCGCCTGACTGGCACTATGGTAGCTCAGGTCACCCAGGATCCCTGCCAGCCTACCCTTCACTCACCAGCTGTAAGGGCACGAGCTTCTAAGTTATACACTGGAGTACAAACTATCAAACCCCATCCTTTACTGCATGAAACAAAGGTAAACTAGAGTCTGCCCTATAGTAGTCCTGGTAATAAATACCTTAACACACGTACCTGAGCAGGGGATGGCTCTAAGCCCACACTTCTCCCTCCTAGGAGCTGGTCAAGGTTAAGGTATACAAACAAGGGATAATAATAGTTCCTATAACTACAACAGGGGTTTTATTTCTAGGTCTTGAAGTTTCTTTATAAAATCACTATTGTAAATGAGTATTTGTAGCACAGTTACAAATCGTCTCACCAGAGCGAGACGCGTAACACAACTGCTCACTATGAATGCCCAGGGGCAACTAAGCCTCCCAGCTGTGTGGCTCCAGGAAGCTAGTGGACTCGGTGATGTCATGTACCTGGCACATATTTCTGTCTCAAATATATATAACGCACAAGACTCGTTCTTTTTTCGCCATAAGTATGTGCTACCTCAAGCAGGATGATGCATACCTTTGCTGACTACTGTAGTGAAATGCCTCTTTCTGATAGAGCCCCAGTGGCTTCCTGAAAGTATCTTACTGAGGTGGCATTACAATCCCGGGGATTGTGGGAGCCAGATCATTTTACCTTAAAATACTTGGAGAACATAAGATTTTTATTACCAGATTTAATGTTTTGGGATACCAGTATATAGTAGAATATTGAGTAATTTGCAGATAAGTTTTGTCTATGTATGGTAGTAATATTACTTAAAATAATGTTGTAAGATGTCAAGTTATTGTCCCGTGTACAAACAGTTGATGGGAAAAACAAACTGCTAGATGTAAGTGTGTTTTGTAGTCCCTAGCCAGTGACTACAAAACACAATATATATCCTACGAAGGCTGTAGATGAACAAACCATCCACCATTATATTATGTCAAAAAGTGCTGGGAAGACGGGACACCACGAGCGTAGCTCTCATCCTGTAACTACATTTAGGTAATTACACTTAGGTAATTACCAGGGCCAAAAGAACAGAATCTCTGCTTCCTGAGAAGAGCTTGAAGTTTCCCAACCATGCAGCTGGAGGCAATGCTGAGACTGATGGATGCCTACTATTACCCAGTAAATATTACATTTCTGGACTTGTTGATTAAGTAGCCAGATTGTTACTGAAATGCCAGGGAATGGTGGGGTTTGAGTATTGTTGAGAAGGTTTGTTAGTGTGTGCAGTAAATTTTTTGTTTTGTTTTACATGTGTGCAGCTGCCCGCACATGGTGTAGGCTTCTTTTGTAGCAGGTGCAGGCAAAGGTGGTTGTCCACTGATGGCTGAATGGCACATTAGAGGCCAAGTACCTTTCCTCTTTTATACAATAGCCACTGGTTCCCATTATTATTACAGTATTATGATCTATAAGTAATGGTAATGTCTTCTCACCGACATAAAAACCAACACTTATGTATTTGTGAATTTTATGTAAAGATTTAACACAAAGTTTTACACTCAGCACTCTCCTGAGTGCTTTGTCAAGGTCTGAGTGTGTGGTTAGGACAATACTTACGTCTTAACACTTGACACCCAGCATGTGCGCCCCAGCCTACCCCATGGTGGGCCGAGCGTTTTGTGTAAGCAGGCAGCCACGCTGAAATGTGTAAAATCTTTTCAGTTTTCTCACCTAAATTTTCCTTGTATGTCATTCATCTTGGTATCAAATTGTTCACAATATTATTCCCTACAGTCTGGGTTTTTATCCTATTATGATCTATATTCTGTGTAATTTACTTACTAAACTTCCCCCCCCCCCATGTGTGTTACCTGGAGGTTGGTTATTTCAATAAGGTAGACTTTCATGTACTTTTATTTTGCTTGAGATCAGAGGTCTTCCCCATGAGGGATGGGAGGGAAACTATGAGCAGGAAGTGCCAAGCCATTACTACTATATATCACAGGGAGGGGATCAGTACTGTATAAGGATTTGGGATGGGACCGGTGGGGGGAAGGGGGGGAGAAGGAATGATGCTCAACCACTTGGAAGGTCAGGGATTGAACGTTGACTTCCCCATGAGGGAATAAAGTAGTTGTTGCTACATGATTGTTTATGTACATCTTGTTCTCCTGCTTATGTGGAGACAAATTTGTTATGTGAATAAATATTGTTAAATATTAGCTTAAAGTTTTTTTCCACCAATTAAGGGATTGGGCTGTCCTGCTCCTACATTACAGCTATTAATTTTTGGTGTGTGTTATAGCTTCCTGGGGTGCCTGGGCCTATCTTAAATCTTCTTTGGGAGGATATCATTCCAACTAACAATTAATGCCAAGTTGTAACAGATGGATCCCTACTACTGGGCAACATCAGTCACAGGAGTCTTGTTTAGCCAACTGCAGAACAGAGCCAGAACCTGGTCCCCACACAGAGGTGCAGGGAACTATTATCATCACTCATTGGAAGAGTATGGATCTGTTACTTAGCAGTAAAATAGGTACCTGGGTGTTAGTCAGCTGTCACGGGCTGCTTCCTGGGGGTGGAGGCCTGGTCGATGACCGGGCCGCGGGGACACTAAAAGCCCCGAAATCATCTCAAGATAACCTCAAGAAGTATCCAGAAAGTTGGCAAAGCTTTACAGACAACTACAAAGTTCATACAAAATGAAGTATCAAAACAGCCAATAAACTGTGAAAACTGTGCAAGCAAAACAAGTGGAATGCTTCTATTGTAACAAGGAACACTTGTAACACTCACTTGTAATGGGGCGAGATCAAAGATACTGGAGTTAAGTGATGTAATACAGCTGCAGACACCAGATATTGTTGCACTCATGGAGACAAAACTTGAAGATGATATTTTGAATGAGGTCATATTCCCAAGGGGCTACTCAGTCTGGAGACGGGACAGAAAAATTAGTTAAGGCGGTGGCATTGTTGTGCTGGTGAAAGAACACCTAAAGGTAAACAAAATAATGATTGGCAATCCACGAGAAGTTGACATAATAGCACTAGAGATCTGCAATCAGGATGATACACTAATGATCATAAATGCATATAGTCTACCGCCATGCAACACATGGTCAAAGGAGGAGCTGGATAATAAATGTGAGGGTCTTATAACAATAATGAGAGAGATTATAGCGAGAGCTGATAAAGATAGATCACGATTGTTGGTAGTCGGTGACTTCAACTTGAAATCCATAGACTGGGAAGCATGTGAAGCTAGAACAGAGGATTTTTGGACTTGTAGATTCGTAACCTCATCCTGGAAACATTCATGTTTCAACATGTTAAACAAGCTACGAGGATGAGGGAAGGGGATGTTCCCTCCATGCTGGATTTGAGATTTACCAAGAAAGAGGAAGGAAATTTGACATGCAGTACCTTCCTCCTTTCGGTAAAAGTGACCATGTCTTTTTGGGAATAAAGTATGCAATGCGTTATAATCTGGAAGAAAATGAGGTTGAAGCAGTTGAAAAACCTGATTTCAGGAGAGGACATTATGGGGAACTCAGACATTTTTTTAAGGAATTTGACTGGAAAGACTTGCTGTTAGGACATGAAGTAAATGAGATGTATGTCAAGTTTTGTGAAATATATGATAAAGGCACAACAAAATTTATACCAAAGCAGAGATGCAGAACTTGGAAACAGGATTGGTTCAACAGAAATTGCCAGAGGGGCCCAGAGACCAAAAAGACAAAAATGGAATCAATATAGGAAGAGGCCAAACCCCCAAACATACCAGCGATACAAAGACACGAAAAACAACTACACGGCAGTGAGGAGAGAGGGGGAAGAAAAATTTTGAAAAAAGAGATTGCGGACAAATGTAAAACAGAACCAGGCCTATTCTATATATTCATAAACAACAAATTGCAGGTAAAGGATAATAGTCAGAGGTTGAGAATGGATAACAGATTCACGGAAAATGAAAAGTAAATGTGTGAAACGTTAAACGAAAAGTTCCAAAGTGTTACACACAGAAATCACAATAGCGTGATGCATCAAACTTGCAAATCCACAAGGGCTGTGATGAGGGTTCGAACCTACGTCTGAGAGGATCCCAAACGCGCCTCAATCGACTGTACCACGACACGGAAAAGAATTGCAATCGGGAGTTCATCTGCCCTCACACGGATCCTGCAGTCTCTCCGAGACACAAACCAGGGTTTTACACAATTCCCCATGCCCCGTGCTCTGTTAATAAGCTGTTCTACCTCTTCCCCTTTACTTCTACACACAGAGGTAGGACAGCTTATTGACAGAGCCCGGGTGCACGGGGGAATTGTATAAAAACCTGGTTTGCGTCTCGGAGAGACTGCAGGATCCGTGTGAGGGCAGATGAAATCCCAGTTGCAATTCTTTTTCGTGTCGTGGCACGGTCGATTAAGGCGCGTCTGGGATCCTCTAGGACGTAGATTCGACCCCTCATCACGGCCCTTGAGGATTTGTTCCGAAGTGTGTTTGTACAAAATTAAATCTTCAGGGAATCAGACACAATAATAATTCTAGAGAACAACATAGAGCACATAGAGGTGTCCGGAGACGAAGTGGAAAAAATGCTCAACGAGCTAAGTAAGAACAAAATATCGTGTGCTGATATTTGGGCTCAGGGGTTTTGAAGGTTTAACAGGGTCTTGGCAGCCCGATATTTGATTAATGTTTCTGATCCCAGCTAGTCTTGAATTGCACTGGGCCAAGTTTCCCAGCCCACCATCTCTCCTTCCTGTTATGTCTCTTGTTTGCCTTTTGCTCTGTGGTCAGTTAGCTTCAGGGAACCACAAGGGGCTCTTCCTACAAAACCAGTATATTTTCCATTTTAACCAAGTAAGCAGCCAGTTATTGGAAAAAAAAAAAATTTTTTAACCAAATACTGTAGTGGAGTGCAGTTTATCATACTGGGTTTTCAGAATTATGGCAGCTGGTCTTCACTCCTTGAAAACTTTACAGAGGTAAATTTATTTCATTAATTTATTTATAAGTATTTTATTTATTGCAACAAAACATTATTTGCACATTTGTTTAAAGAAAAATATATTTAATTCTTACATATGTACAAACTGTAGATTTAACATAATTACTCACTGAACTCTCAGAATATAATTATTATTTTATCAAATGTGCACCAAAAAACCAGCGTTGAATGTAATGAAACGCCATTTTCTGGGTGAGTCCCGGAGGCTCCCCGGAGCTATCCCAGGCTGATATGCTAATGTCAGACTTTGGCATCAGTCATGTGTATGGAGTTCTTAGGCCTACCGGGGACCACGGCCAGAACCGGGCCCCCTCAGAGAGGCAAGGGGAGCAATGGCCTATAGAAGCCCCCGTGTAGTTGGAAGCATTCTATGTCTGCCATCGACCGGAACAGGCACCCAGAAAGGTAAGCGCCCCAAAACAAACCCCTATTCTGGTTAAAATTGCTACCTAATACCGAACTAGTGGATAGAACTCCCCAACCGAAAACAAGCAAATTAGTGTGACGTCACACACTGCCGCGCCGCTGTCTGCGCAGCTCCCCCCTCCCCGGGAGGGGGAAGGGGGAGCCCCAGACCCCCCGCGCCGGCTACCCACACCTCAGTTCTTGAGGCTGGATGTCAAAAACGCGAAAAACCGCCGACCGGAGGGAGGGAGGGATGCCGGGGAGCCTCCGGGACTCACCCAGAAAATGGCGTTTCATTACATTCAACGCTGGTTTTCTGGGGGGAGCCCCGTCGGCTCCCCGGAGCTAACTACCCACAGACAGAAAAAGAGGGACTTACCCGGGAGGCGGTCGTCGCTCACCCCTCAACTCGAAGCCGAGACAACTGGCTGCAACCGCCGACCCAAAGCAACACAGGCCCGACGAGGGCCAGGGACATTCACAAGGTAACGAGCAGCCAGGACCCTGTTCGACCGCCAAAATCCCCGCGCCCGAATATCAGACCAAGACATATTCCCAAAGACGGCAGCAAGAGCCGCGAACTTACGAACGTCATGGGCACGGGGATAGACCGCAGGCTGGCTAGACCTAATAACCCTGCGGACGACCTGAGAGACCCGAACCCGCGAACAGGGAAGAAGGGAAACCGGATCAACCCACAGCGCGTCCCCGGACACAGAAGCTGTGGCGCGCAAATAACGGCGTAGCGCCGCAACCGGACATAAAACATGATGCACCCCCGGCCCGACCAACCAAGCATCAACCACCCATGGACCCCTCCGGAACGCAGCAGTCTCATTCTTCGCCAGAAAAGAAGGAGACGGCTGCAAACGAACAAAACTATCACCACGACCAAAAGAGCAGAAACCCCTGCGCCGGAGGAGAGCATGAAGCTCCCCTACCCGACCCCCAGAGGCCAAAGCCAACAAGAAAAGTGCCTTGGAAAAACAATCCTGGACCGAAGGGGCCACAACGAAACGAGGAGATGAAAGGAAAGCGAGCACTCTGTCCAAAGACCAGGACGGCTCAGGCGACGCATGAGCAGGCCGGAGGTGAAACAATGCACGAGACAGCTTGCGAAACGGCGCAGACGTAACATCGATACCGAAAGCAAGCTGAAGCGGCTCCGCCAGCGCCGCACGATACGAAGCGACAGTGTTAGGCATAAGATGACGGTCCTGAAACAACCACGAGAGGAAGGACAAGACCACCCGAACAGACAAGGAGCTAACACGACGAAGACGCAAAAAGAAACGGAAGGACCGCCAGGAAACTTCATACTGCCGCCGAGAAGAAGCCCTCAGGTGGGACACCAACAAGGAGGCCACCTGATCACCATAGAGATGATGATAGACTCGAGTCAAAAAAACCATACGCGAAGACTCGAGGAGAAGATCGAACCAGCTACGTGACGTACCGGCCCGATCTGCTGAAAGAGGCGGAGCCGCGGGAAAACCCTCGGGTTCGGACACCGAGCAACCAGCGCCTGAAACCAAGGCTGGGCCGGCCACCAAGGGGCCAGAAGGACAACTCTCCCCTGGTAAGTCTCTAAGCGAGTCAGGACCTGGAGCAACAGCCGAACTGGGGGAAAGAGGTACAGGAACCCCCACCTCGACCAGTCGAGCCGAAAGGCATCGACCCCGACGGCCTCGCAATCGGGGAAGGGCGCCGCATAAACGGGAAGACGCCGCGACCACGCCGACGCGAAGAGGTCCACCTCGGGGCGCCCGAACGTCTGGCAAAGCCAACGGAAGGA